CATATAAATTCTAAAGTGGAAGAGCTCACGTTCCAGCCATGCCCATGCGGAGAAGGGATATCAGGACACGCTTCTGTAGCTCTCCTCCAGATAGCAGCCTGATAGTTTGCACGAGACACATGCAGCCGTAACGATGACTGACATGGCGGCAATGCTTCTGGCGCGACCTTGCCACCTTTCGCATAATGGAGCTCATATCGCAATGAATCCACACTCTTACCCTTCTTTCCATATAAATGACACACAAACTCTTCTGTTGCGCTAAATGTATCATCGCTTACACTCCATTCCTTGCCAATGTCTTTCATTGTATTCGCATAGATATGATTCTTGACGAGCATCTGCATTGACCGCAATTTGCCCTTCGAAGAGAAGGCTGACACTGTGTCGCAACCTGTTAACGCATGTAGCCCCATTAAAGCCTCACAAGCTTCTTGTTTTGTAATTCCATCTGCTACTTGCCTTTCCAGTTGATCAGCAATCTCAGAGATCCCGACAATTCTACGCTTTGATCCATTTCCCTTCTGCAAGTAGCACTTGCCCAGGTTGTGGGCGTGGCCAATGAGTAGTATCATAACGTCCGTATCTTCTGAGTAGATGACACACTTGCCACCTGCATGCTTGGCGTGTAAGACCATACGGGTATCAGCCTCTTCGTGGTTGCTTCTCAGCTCTGGTACTACTCTGGCCTCTGACGAGCTGATTTTCCAGCACGTTTCCTCTTCAGTTACATAGTAGACGGCCAGCCAACCTCAATAAAAGTGTCTCTAAAATGTCATTGATGGCATTTTTTGTTACAAGCTGGCAACTGGCGTTTTCGTATAGCTTAGGCACTGGAGAACAACGTTTGATAGGTTGCCACCTCTGATATTGACTTTAAAGTGAAAAATTTTGAGAATCTGAAAATTTTGTCTATTAAAATTACTATACTCACTAAATTATGAAATTTGAAACCAACTTTCAGCAAAAATCACCTATATAATCAGAAAGTTCGGAAAAAAGTAGATATAGAACATTTAAGTGAGAAGTGTGAATTATAACCCTGTTTTCAGTTACGGGCGCTTAAAGTTGCTAAAAAACAGGTTTTGTGACGTCATTCACCGCATTTTACCTCTTTTTAAGTGTCCATAACTCGAATTTGACTAAATAAATCGTATTACTCGTTTAAATGTCTTATATGTACTTTTTTATGCTCTTTCTAACGATATAAACGATGCTAATTTAAGTGAAATTCAAATTTCACATTTTTTCGGGAGTATAATAATTTAATAGGCAAACTGTTCAAATCCTTAAAATTTTCTCTTCGTTCGTTAAAATCAGAGGTGGCAACATATCAAACGTGACTCACCAGTGTCTAAGCTATAAGAAAACGCTTGTTGTTTGCTTGTAACAAAAAATGCCATCGACAGTCATATTTTGATCGGCTGGCTGGCCGTCTATAGAGTGTTTTGTTGAGAAGCTTGTCTTGATACTGCTCCTGTTTCCATTGACCCACGAGAAACCGCACTAACTCAGTTTTGTTGGCTGATACACTCAGGATCTTGCTCCAATTCTTCACTCGGTAACCGGGCAAGATGTTCTTGTAAGTAATCCCTACTGGTCCAGTTGCACGTTTCGATCTTTCTGCATTCTTTATGGAGATATCCTTATAAATATCGGAGACAACGTCAATTCGCTTGCTGGAGTTGCTGGTTAACATTGTGAACAAACTTTCGGCTAGAACTGCAAATGTGGCTCCAGGCGGTGGTTTAAACTTCTGAAGCACAGCCATTCCGTCATAAATACTTGTAGCATCGAGTGGATAACAGTCCTTGATGACAACTTGCTTTTCCAGTTGCTGAGCTAACTTGGCTTTGTTAGTCTTTCTTGGAAGTCCATAAGGATCTGCTAGCGCCCAAGGTAGTGGTCCGAGAGGATATGTAAACACCAGTCGCATGTCTATCTTGCGAAATTGTCCCAATAACGCCATCCTCGCGAATACGTCTCGATCTAGTTTGATAGGAATTACAGCATCCTTAGAACGAACCTTTGTAACAGCTTTGAGATACTTGAATGACTTAAGCTTGAGCTTTGTCAGAGGATCAAAAAAGGGAACACTTTCATCAGATGAGCATCGCTGTTCCACGAATTTCCTAGACGCGCTTTTTCCCTTTTCATTAGCCTGAAGTAGGTCATCTCTGACCTCAGGAGTTGCTGATATCCCGGTTGACAGGCTAATCAGGTGCACGACGTCTCTGTTCCACGGATTACAGAAAACATTCTCCAAAACGTCAACCACATTTGCTACAGCTTCCATGTCTGATCTTATATGGGAAGGTGAGAGCTCTTTGTGGGGCTTGTTCTCAGTAGACAGCAGAGATACGTGTTCGCGGAAGAGTCGTCTGTATGAGCTGCGCCTGGAATTGTTCAAGACCCACCGCTGAGTCGCCGCGAAATTGGCACTGAATCCGATGTAGCCGCCACTCGTCTTGCAATCCCTGTTGATCGTATTCTCGATGGTCTTGTCGGCCTCGTTTTGACCAAATGGGTTACTTTTGGACATCTGTACACTGAAATGACCGGCGAGAAAAGCATCATAAACCTCAGGCATGACTGTTGGCAAAGCACGCATATCATTCAGGTATGGAATTAGATAGCGCGCATAGTTTTGCCGGTCGTAGGCAAATGTCCATGGTATAACTGCTTCGATACAAGAGAGATACAGTTCCCAGTTGCCCGTTCTCGTTGCGTTGATCAGATCAAGTAGGAGTTCACAGAGTTGCAAATACGTGATCCAAAATTTTGCAAGATCACTGCCATTCTGCCTTATGTCAGCTACGTGTTCCTGGAAACGGTTCTCCTATTGCTGTAGCAGATCGCTCTCCAGGACCTGCTCGATTTCTTCTTGACAAAGATTGAGCTTGAGCTGATCCAACTGCCTTTTATGGTCACTTAGCAATTCCAACGAATCCTCATGCAAGCAATCTTCAAAGTTGTCTAAAAGTAGCTTGGTCATCGCCTCATACATAATCTTGTGTAGTCTAACGCCTCTGTTATAATGCTTGCCGTTTAGAACGCTGTCAATTGAGCCTTCAGCTATCACCTCACTGTGCACAGCTACATCTCTGAGGCCAGCGTCGCCAAAACGGTTGCCGATGATTGCCAGTAGTGTCATCAACAGATGAAACCCACCCATCATTACAAATAAACCTTCAAATTGCTCTTTCTGCTTCCAAAGCACTTCCATGGCTTTCGCATAGAACGCCTGATCAAATACGCAAGCTACTGCATTCAGCTGAAGCTTGTTTTTGATTTCACGTCCGCGGCAGAGTACCTCATACGCCGTCTTAAGATCTGTGGCTGGCGAGTCCAGTGTGTCGAGGTATCCGATTGTGCTTTGAATGACAGCGACTTTGTCGCGAATCTTTATGAAGAATCCGGTCCAGCTGGGAACAAGCAGCAACGGATGAGTCTTCAGCTTCCTCAGTTCGATCCACACGAGATAGTGAATGTGCAGTTTCCTTGACATTTTCTCGTAGGATGAGGTAATACCGAGGTGTTGTATGTGTGACAGGACTCCTGGGCCGACCCGCCTACCTCCATAGTAATCCGGAATCTCTCTGGTAATTACATCTGCTGATAAAGATCGTTTGCATTTCCGTTTCACCGGGGGGTGGTATTGTTCACCGTCGCCCTCTAGGTTCTCCTCAAATGTCTCTTGAGGCTGTCGTTTCATAACAAGAATGGAATTCACCCGGTGGGAGGTGCCGGCTCCACTCATCGTACATTCCAAGTTATCAATGTTGTCCGCTACCATGAGTGCGACGGGTAGGTTGTTGAACTGTTTGCATTCATCTGGGATAAGAACACGATTTAACGTTTGTTCGTTAATTGCTTTAAGCGCAAATTCCGTCTCGATTTCTTCAACAAGATTATAACCGATTCCATGGCCACATCTATTAATAAGTTTAACAACTTCTGTATTATTACACAAGGCTTTTACCACAGATGGAAAAAGTACACTTTTAGGCGTCTTAATTGCTCCGTTAGATACGGAGTAGACAATGTCCTGTGCTAATGAGTTCTTTAGGCGCACAATGCGGTCAGACCTGCTTTTGTCCCTGTCCAATAACTGGCCAGACAAAAGGATGGTACAAAAGGTATCTAACAATTCAGGAACACAGTCGGCTACCTTATCAATACCTAGATCTTTTTCTTCGGGGGGCCACGCCATTGCACGGGGATGGTATTTTATTTTCTCGTTGAGAATTTTCGCTGCGTTGATTACTGTTTTTGAATTTTCATCCAAGGATGTTTGATTTGCAACGTCACTTTTAAGCTCAAAGTTTTCGACTACGACTGTCTCTAATTTTAAGGTGGAGGGATACATCAGAACTTTATTTTGTTGGTAATTAAGAAATACTAGCTGTTCGAATTTATTAGATATCAGACGCAAGAGGTTTTTATATTGAGACTGTGTTACTACCACACCCAATTTATCTGCCTCGTCTGATAGGACATTCCTAACTTCTTTAAATTCTACGACTCTTGGGTTTGATATTAAGGCTTCACAGAAGGAGTAGACAGCTTCATACACCTCACCATTATTATTCCCCATAGCTTCAGTGGGATTATTGACGGCTTCATCAGTCTCGTACATAATGTGAACAAAAGCTTTGTAGCATGAAGAATGATATTTCGCTTCACTACTTATCAAATCCTTGGCGCAAATACCAGAAATATTTGCAGCAATGGCACTCATATTAGTGTGTCTACTAAGGTGCAACGACGCGCTTTTTCTAACCGTGTCATCTGCTCTAAACTCTTGGACGCCGTGCAATTTCTCTCGTGTTTTTGTTCCCGGTTTGTATTTTGGTTTCTCACAAAATATGCACGTCTGGGGAAGCACTGCTGAATTTATGGCCGATCTATCCACATCGCGACTACCCCTTCTAACTTGGGGCTGGTCTTGTCCTGTTTTGCTACTCTCCGCGGTTTTCTTCGATAGAGATTGAAGATTTTTCTGGTTTACAAACCCTTTTCTACAAGTAACATGATACTTCACAGTTGATCGAGGGAAATCGTGTTTACCATGCGACAAATCTAGAATTGGCGTGAATTGCCTAATTTCTGCAGCACAATACAATCTCGCCCAAGACTCTGCATCTTTACACTGTGCCAAATTCTCATCACTCTCGCTACTGCAAATTACACAATTCTCCATTTTGAAATTTTCTGATCAAGTAGAAATAACGCACTAACTACAACATGGACTCCAAGCCTGTTCGTACAACAGTTTCAGACTGAATGTCTGATAAACAAACAAGCAGTTGAAAGGTTTTCGCATTTTATTCTACAAGACTAGAATAACGTAACTATAGAATTACTATAACACAATAACTTTAATTTCTTAAGATTTTATAATAGCGATTGCTGGTGGGTTTTTCCCGTACGTTTAAAAGAAAATTTAAAAACTGCTGTATCATATTTTAAAATAAGAACTAATGAAGTATGATCGTCACGTGATTTTGTTTTGATCAATTTTGAAATGTACGTGTAGAGTATGCAGATATGTCATTTCTTTTCTTAACTTATAGTTTCTGATAAAATATAAACTATATCTAGAAAATAAAAAAAAAACACTTTAATACATAGATTTTTATATTTTTCGGTATCCTCCATAATTAACAAACTCTACAATGTATTAACTACAAAATTATTTTGTTTTGAGTTTTGTTCCATATTGCTAATAAATATGCGGGTTTTCCTCTGTGTGACAAATGAGTGACAAAAATTGCTGCACAGTTGAAAGTAGAATTTCTTTTGGAAAGCTATTAACACCCAGACAACCTGCTTAGATATTTTTGAAAGCTTAAAAGACAAGGTTTTATACATGGTCCGTATAATTTGTTCACTTCTAATTACAAAGTTTTAAATCAATTCGGAATTGTTGACAATGACTACGAGACTTTAAAGTTATGAAACTACGCTACAATCGCTACTTGATGGGAGTGAGAAAGTATCTGAAAACCTTAAAGAAATGATCAATTAAAGAGTTCTAAGTAAATCAAAAGATGTATAAAGCATGCAGCTACAAGTCTTTGAGGTGAGACCTTTATTTAACACCTTTTGGGTTGTTTATGTCTGAATATTCTTAGGCGGGATTTTCTCTGAGAGACAAAATGGCGGCCGTTCACTGCTTCGAAGTACGTCACTTCAAAGTCGAAATTCTGTAGGAAAGCTACCGTTCTGAACGTCCGCCAAGACATTTTTTGAAAGCTAGAACGCTAAGCTTTCATATGCGATCAGTTTCGTTTGTTCCCCTAAGATGAGTATTAGACTCAAATTTTCGGCTTCTAGGTGATGGACTACTAGTCACCTAGGTAATTTATTAACACAAATAGACCATTGCCCATTAGTAGCAGTTGACTTCAATCAAATTAGCTCATCCATTTAGTAAATCTGCACATAATGAGTTCCATCACAGTTAATAGAATAGATGGTTTGGCTGAAACTCTCAAACTCATTATTTATGTTAGTCAACATTTATTCATAAATCTGGTTCTTCATCCTCATGTGTGTATTTTATTCTTGCCAAATCCACCTTGTATTCTTGCAATTTTCAATTTACCCTATTGTTCGAGTCACGGATAGCTAACTTTCCTAAGACATTGCTATTGGTTAGTTGGGCAAAAATACAGAGACCAGATTTATGAATAAACCTGTGGTGTAACTTTCCTTTTTTGACCACTTGCTCTCAGGGCAAGTTAACTGCATGGACATGAAAATTAGTTGCCCTGAATAAAATTCATTTGCCAGGGGGTATAAATCAAGGGGGCGACTTGTCGACTCATTCTCTATGTGGCTATGTTATACTGCCTTAGATCTAGCTTTGGCCCACAAAAAACAAAATTTGAATCAAGTACATGCTCCATAAAAAAATTATCCGATAATGAAAGCCGAGCTTTTTGTGGCAAGAGGCAACTTGCCCAATCGGGCAAGATAAAACGTTTACTTGCCCGTCATGATATTCACTTGCCCCGGGCAAGTGTTAAGTTACACCTCTGTAAACGTTGACTAACATACCTGTAGATAATGAGGTATATATATTGTTATTCTAATGAGTTTCCAAACCATCTATTCTATTAACTATGGTATGTTCCATTTTCTTGTATTATAATAAAATTTTTGCTATCATGACATTGAGCTTTGTAAAAAAAAAATTTGGAAGATGTTTTTCACTCTAAGACAGCTTACTTTTGGTCTGTTTATATGGAGTTAATCCAGCCTAGATTAGCCATATTTTTTTAATCACTTTATTGTTATTAAAGTATTTACATTAGCAAATGGTGGCCATACAGGACATAGCCCCAATTGATTACAGCTACAATAGCTTGCTTGGTGTTTCAATTTATGTGACACTGTTGAGGCAACCATATGCATGGGCTTGCTGGAACAAAGGTATTAAGCAAAAAATTATATTCACACAAGCAAATCTCAAAGTCATGCCACCTAGAGACATGAATTGGTCGAGCCATTTGAATTGGTTGAGCCATAATGAGGTTTAACAACATATTGTCATGATACATCCTCACCTTAATAAGCTCTAATCCTATTTGAGCTGCCACTCATTACCAAGCACTTGGAGGAAGCATACTTTATTAATTTATATTTGGCCAGGCAGGCACTATAGAAATTTAATTAAAGTAATCTGGGATCACTATACCTACCAATATGCATTAGTTACATAAACCTTCTTTCCAGTTGGGCTAGCCTAGACTCTTTTTTTCCATGCCTTAGATCTTGGATAACAGCTGGGCATTAAATAATACTCTATTCACATCAATCTATTGATGTAAATAACATTTCTTCATTTCCTTAGGGGGTACCCAAGCCAGCCGGATACCCGAGCTAGCTCGCTTTGCCAAGATCTAACGTCGCTATGTAATTTAAACTAATATTCATCTTGCATTTATATGGAACTGGGCTGGCCTGTCAAGGCAAGATCTTGAGAAGTAAAAAATATTATATTATACTATTTATAACAGTGATCTGTTTTGGCAAACCAGCCCACCTGAAAAGTCTCTTGTAAACATGGGATGAAATCAACTCGGGTTACCTGGGCTGGCTCGCCTAGGAGATTAGAAAATTTCAAAGTTAAAATTTATTTTGAAATCTCTCTGAGGGATAAAACCTTCAAAACTTTATTGTTGACAAAAATTTCAGGTAGACAATACCCAGGAAAATTGCCTATTTACATTGCAAGGCTGAAATTATGTACATAATTTCAATAATAAATAAAATAAGCAACTTTACCAAGGACAAGTGAGTCTTTATGGATGACAAGAACAGTAGATTAGTTCCTGATTATTTACAAACATGTATTATTACCTTTCGCACTTTAATATTGTGGAAACATATCTATATTTTTATTTATTTCTGTATATTTTCCTCGGAAGAATGATAAAAAATGCGTAATACCGCGTGCAACCCCCTGCTTCCTCCGCAGGCCCTCGTTGCGTCATGGGAAGGTCACGATCTGGCGAGGGCCTGCGGGATCTTGTAAAAAAAATGGCGCCGGCGTCACGTCAGCAAGTAAATTTCTACTTAACCTTGAATATAAACAGATATAAAAAAGCGGTGTTAAACTTGTAAATTAAACTGGCGACTCTTGGGACGTGGAAAGAAGCATTTTTAACGATAAGGTTTGTTGTCCTCACCAACGTTGCACGAATAAAACTGCCTTCTCCGACGAAGCAGGTTCAAAACAATATTTATCCATTTTACAAGATTCCGCAGGCCCTCTCGAAATCGTAACCTTCCCATGACACAACGAGGGCGTGCGGAGGAGGCAGTGCAACCCCCCTGCTAAGAGACTTGAACTAGTACAATAACTGTATATAACATGAAGTTTCCTGAACAAAATGGCGGAAATGTTAATAAAAAATGTTGATGTTTGATCGTAAAATACAAAAAAACTGCAGGTTTGTGCGAGTGAAAACAAGTGAATTCGAACTCAGCGTATAAAAATCTATAGATTCATGTAAATTTAAAGTAGTGCCCGAAGGGGGGCAGCAAAAATCGTTTTCTAAGCCACTTTTGGGGCCAGGGAATACGGCCTCTAATAGTCCTAAATTTTCTACTCTGTTCGCCCGCCATTTTGAAAGTTTCACTCTGCGTACTTCATGTAACTTGCATGTTTTGAATACTTTTGCAACGAAAACCGCTGCCCACTGCGCATCGCATATTGGCGCTTTTTGATGCATTTTTGACAGGCGTGATGACTGTCGAGGTCCATACATATGACTCTCACAAATTCTGATTTCTCACAGAATGTAGGAAATTTGCCACTCATCCGACCCAGTATGTCAACAGTAAATTACTGTCAGGCCTTGCTCTAATTACGAATACAGATTTTTACTATAGTTCTATATACACAGAAATCTATCGAGATCCGTTTGGGATATTTCAATAAATCATGAATCGCTCATTCTGTTACGTATTGCGGTGACCGATCGATGGAAACTCTAATGAAAACTGTTAGTTAAACTTGTAGCATTCATCTTGATACTTACATTTTTTTCCCGTAGAGATTTCAATATTAAACTGTTTTAGCTTTCAATATGATTTAAAACCTGCACCGCGTGCAACTATATAACAATTTCTCGAGGCTATATCACAAATCATTAAATTTTGCAAGAATAGGTGTTTGGTTACATAAGACGAATTTACTTATAATCCACATGAATTAACAATGAAGTCGCCGTGTTCAATGTTATTTAATAATTTATGTTCCCAAAATCAGGTAAAGTTTTTGCATGTTCATGGTAGTTTCTGAGAGGACTTCCTTATCTCTTTTGGATATATTTACATAATTCTGTTTGAGTAGGCTATAATTGCAAAATTATGATCCTATAACTTCCGTTTCAGCACTATTTTCTCGCAGCTGCTGTTGCATAACAAAATAAACTGATCAGCTTAATTCCCAAATATCACTTAACGAAAATTATTGTCCCAGTGGACATCTTCAAGCTTGCTGCCGGAAAGAAATCTTTTCAATTTGAATTCAAATTTCATCAGCTGTCAGTAAAAGAGGTTCGTATAACTTATTTTCTTCTCGCTTTTGCCATGGTTTGTGATAACTTGGTTTACTTTGAAAAGCCGCCAGTGCGACTACAGCTGGACGTAAATATCACCGTTTTTTCGTCTAACCAGATTTCACTTTACTGATAAATAACATTCCAATGTATTCATAATCACGTTGAGTGACCACACATTTCAATCTGATCATCAAGGACAATTATAATTTAAAGAACCTATAAGATTCAGAAAATGTTATTTCTTATACTTTTCCGTGTTCACAACATTTTCAAATTGGTTTAAATGATACGAAAAATATAGAAATTGCAGAAGAAAACGGATTGACGGAAGAAATGTTAAAATCCCGAATCTTTTTGGGTAATATATGCAATGCTATATAATTATGCTGAATAAATGTTCAGCCCCAGTCATGAAATAGTGTATCTCTAAAATGCCACCAAGCAGGACACTTTCCATAACTCCAAAGGTCCGCTGTTATTAGCAAGTTTCGCTTGATACTTTTCATTCATTATTTATATATGTTATTTATATTGTGCAAATGTTCCTGTGCTGTTTTGTACCATTGTGTTAAGCTCTGTATTATGTGTATTGTATTTTTTTAACCAGGTCGTCTACATAATTGCTATACGCTCTGCTCGGCTTTCCTGTGTCGTTTTGTACTATCGAATAAATTTTGTAAACGGCTTAGTGTATAAATAAATTAATTAATTAATAAAAATTAGTAAATACAATATTGTAGCTTAAATTATAAATCACTAAATTTCAATTATATATTTCAGCTTTTGATATCATTATAAAGAGGAGTTAATATTCCTATGTCATAATTTTATTATGAATTGGCGTACAACATTTTATCGTGTGCACCCCAATCATGATAATGCCAGAAACTGTGGTTGTACTGAACGTATATTAATGCTTGCAGATGTTAAAATGAATTGCATCGATCCTGCCTAGATTCATGATTGTGCATGCCAATGTAATGCCGTTAATTTTATAAAAACGGTGTTATAATTTCTATAATATAGTTATAGCTAAATAAGACGAGATTTCGTTCAATCTTGCAGAATGAACATTTCTTTATTTAGGAATATGTAAATCGCATATGCGTTTAAATGTGTGGTCTGTTCGTTGTTGTTTGTGACATTAAGTGGTTAATTTGTTTGGATTTGCATAATATTGTTTTAATAATGCAGCAAAACGACGGCCTATATCTTCCGCTTCAGCAACATCAGTGACATCTGTATTGTTGCCAAACAATATACAATGCAAGGATTTCAAGTATCAATTAGAGAAAACTTAATTCGAGGCCATTCAATCTGGCTACCGAAAAAAGTTTTTTAATTAAACGCCGTTTCAAAATACCTTGCGATTTCACTAAAACAATTTGATAGGGTGTTTTAGGTCAATGATGACCAACTCATGATTTGTTACAAATCATAACTTTTTTAACACTTCAATGACAATAATGTATCTTTCGCTAAACTATAATGACCATTCGAATGTATTCACCAAGGCAATGCATGCTGATCTCTCTGCGCAGTTGCATTCATGTTCATTCATTCATTTAAATAATATCTTACTATTTTGTGTTCAGAAGACCTTGAACACTATATGACTGCAATTGCAAGAACAATGTACGAATTTCAACAAAAGACCAAAGACCATTCGATCTCGGCGCCGAGTCGTTCGGGCCGGCTCCGAGCATAAGTTGTGTTGAACAAATCAATATAGCTAGAGGTTATTATTCCACCATGTCGACATTCTAACACAGCATCTACTTCGAATTTATGTACGTTACAATTAACTTACTTTACAATTACGCTGCAAACTGAATTTCTGCCTAATATTTATACCCGCCAAGCCTCGCGCCTGATTTTAAGGCTTAAACCTGCGTAATAAATAATCCCTATCTATCCATTGGGATACACATGTTAATGTAAATTTTTGTTCGCCTAATCCTTTAATCATGTCCCTGTCGCCTAAGTACTTAGCAACGCATAATGACACAACATTTGGAAAGTTTAATTAAAACATGTTTATTTTGTCATACCCAAAATATATTCCTATGAAACCCAAGAAAGTAGCAAAGTTATACCCAGAAGATAGACAAGAATATGAGAACTCATTCAAAATAAAATCGTACCGTACTAAATTTTGTAAAAAGTTTTGAAGAAATAAATGTATTTTAAAACTGGAATCTTGTGCAAGCTTTTGCTGCAAAGCACGCTCTTTCCCACCGGCCCGCGCGATTTGCCTTATCCGCCAGCCTGATTAGTGGACAAATATCTTGTACTTTAATATATACATGCAACCAAGCGTCGCTCAATAATGGCTGGCAACCCATAGCAACGTATATGACGACCGCATATTTGATAAAAAATGTGAAAATATATTAAAATTGCTCTAAAAGTTTTTTCCCTCAAGAAAGTAGTATAGGGAAGAGGGGTTCTACGACGGGTGCTGCACTAAGCACCACCCATGATGTCGTCGCAATTTTTTTTCCGTAAGCAATCGAAAGTCGTCATCAGGGTATCATATCATACCGATTACACGCGCTTGTAATGTGTTTAAAGAGTTTGGACCAATGATTACTAACATTTTAAGAAAATTTTATAGTTTAAGAGCGGTTATCTGTAATAGTCAAGTAAGACGTGTAAAAAATGAGAAAAATTCAAACCCTTTAACGCACAGTGTGAGCCTGTATTCATTTTGACCCCTGGTGCCTCTGTGAGGGACTGTATTATACTTCATGTTATTCAAATATTTCGATACTATCATGGCGCACATTTTGAGATATTATTGAACGAATTATGCCTTTTGAAACGATTTTTATGAAAGAAAGAAGATCTATCCCTTTAAATAATGGCTGTAACGTGAGTAAACAATGTTTATAATGCAAGGATAAGTGTATATTTCGTATTACATTAGCTTTTTTCGATCGAAATTATAATACAATGTTTCATTGGGAGTGCTTGCATAGTTCTTGTGAATACTGAGCCGAATATTGTTATCAATCAAGCATTTCTAGGCAGTCAAGTGCCTCGATAAATCATTTTGAAATTTTGGGCTTATTGATAATATAGAAAGTGGCTTAGAAAATGTAAATTTTGTATATGATAGGGGAGAATACACTTCATGACATACATTTTCCAAAACTGAATGGCAAGTGAGGGAAGATATGCCAAAATGGAACTCCAAAGTACATCTATATTTCAACCAACCTATATTTGACTACTATTGCGCAATACGTATCCAGCAATAAGTGACAAAAATTCTGATAAAACAATAATTTGCTATGATAAAGTTATACACTAGATGAAAGCTCATGTAATGCACTTTTCATCATAATGAATAAAATAATTTTAGGAGTCAAATATGTTGACTTGTTTGCACCTAGAAACCGGACTTCTTGAATAACCATCACTGTTATCGAGCACGAAAGGGTGCACTGTTGCCACGGAAACTATTATGTATGCATATGAGTTGCATATTTACAATCTGTGTTATTTAAGCTTCAATTTGATATACAATTTGATGTATTTGTGATAAATGTCTCAGGCATAATTTCTTTTCTTTTCCACTTATTGGAAAAACAGCATTTTTCCAAAAATAAATCTATGCAGCAAAGGGTTATTAATGTTGTGCAAGTTTTATTTCGATCGGATAAATATTGATGGAGAGAGACGTCGAAATTGGTTTTCCCAGGCCACTTTCGGTTTTTAGAGGTCATTTTACGGCACTACCAAAATCGCTCTATTTTGCACGATAATGGCAATATTTCACAAAATATGATTTCGTTTTATAAATTAGAGTTATTTATTGAGCAGCAGACGAATTTTAGAGACATTTCTGTTAAAAGTGAATATTTTACAGATTTTCTTAATGTTTTTTATTTTTGAACCTCTTTATTACATGCCATATTAGGCAGCGAATATCTCCATTATTACATCGATTCAGACAAAAAAATTATAACCAGGTCAAAGAAATATGCTTTCGCTTGCTATTGATCAAATAAAATTTTGGGGCAACTTAGAATTGAATTTTTTTCGTAACCTCTATTTGACCCGAATAGCCATATGTTATGTAATCAACGTCGAGTCATGTAGTTCAATAAACTATATCCAAAGAGCTCGTCAAAAGAGTTTATTTCTTCAAGTAAACAAGCCTAGGCCTATAAAACTACCTTAGCTAAAGCTGTACGATTGGCAGAAAGCATTTAGGTCTAAATCACACTGTTTACAGACGCTTATTGTTCAGGTAATGCCTATAATATATTGTATAGCCGGCGTCACTGATTTGGTGGATTTGGTTTTAATTATATTTTATCAGGGATATGCCGCGATAAGTATAGCAAGTATATTTTCTCTCCCCTTCCCATAAAACATGTGTTCTTTCACGACTCGTCGTGCTTATAACTTTTCGAACATAAATAGTGTACGCACTTTTTGTCAAAAACATCGGTCAGTTTACGTTGAAATTGTAATTTGTTTACTTACATGCAGTAATTAATTTAATTAATATTAAAGCTGGATTCTTTCACCGTGATGTCATGCCAAAAGGTCTCTTTTCTATTTTTAAAAAAGACCCCCGGTTGATTTATGATTGGGTAATATTTATTACAGTTGTATATTTGATTATTTGTTGGTCAATAACTTTGGTCAAACTTCAGACCAAACTTCTACGCATTTTTCTGTGTTGGTGTAATGTACTCAGGTGAATATGATGCTTGTGATGTTACTCTGAGTGTATATCCACATCGGGCAGGTGGGAATCGAACCCTTTGGAATACTAGCCCAATGCTCTGCCAACTGAGCTACGCGGTCTGGTCGGTTCGAGTAGGTGATATTTCGGAACAGAATCTAGTTCCTTCGATGTCAATGTTATCTAATAATAATCATGATTTTTCTGTGTTGGTGTAATGTACTCAGGTGAATATGATGCTTGTGATGTTACTCTGAGTGGTAATCCATGAATATTATACCTCAAATTCAAAACGTCCAATTAAAATGCTCCATTTTGCCCACGTGAGGATGAAATATATCGTCGTATTCCGACATCTACTTGTAGATATTAGTTTCTGCCGTCCTTTTGACCAGCGCCCACATCGTATTCACCGGTAGAGCTGTGGATATTAATTTCTGCAGTCCTTTTGACCAGCGCCCACCTCATATTCACCGCTACAGCGGTGGATATTTAAAATCGTGGAAACCACGCAACTCACGAGACTGACGTGTGGAGAAAAAAGCGGGAAATTGTTATTTATTTAATTCAAAATGGCCAGCCATGATTCTGCATCGGAAGAAGATCTAGAAATTGCCAGAATTTTAGACGAAAGGCATTCTAAAAACACGACCAAAAGTACTAAAACGGCATTGAAAGCATTTGTAAAAGCTGCCGGAAATGTAGCCGAGTTACAAGACAAAGAAGTTTTGGATAAAAGTCTGGCAAAATTTTATGCGAACGCCGAAAAGAAAGACGGCTCAAAGTATAAAGCAAATGCTATGCTAACGCTTCGGCAAGGTCTAAGACGCCATTATTTGGACAAGTTTGGATTTGATATTGTAAATGACAAGTCATTTTCATATAGCACCAAAGTCTTTAAAGCAGCAGTAAAAGATTTGCTTCGAAAAGGCTTGGGTTCTGTAAAACACCACGTCCCAATCACAAGAGCTGATATGTCGAAACTTTACAGCGGCGACACCATTGTGTTTTACACCGATACTCCGAACGGTCTCCTAAACAAAGTGTGGTTTAAAATCATGTATTACCTATGCCGACGAGGGCAAGAGAATTTAAGAGCAATGACCACGGAAACATTTGATATATCTACTGACAGCAGTGGAAAACGATACATTCACCATAAGAAGGATGAACTAGACAAAAATCATCGCGATACATCTACTGGAGCCGTAACACAAGGCAGAATGTATGAATTACCAGGTATCTACCTGTATCCCTGCATATATATAATTGCTTATGCATGATAATTTACTGAGAATGATTCCCTCTTTGCTTAGGAAATCCTGCTTGTCCTGTGACATCATTCTGAAGTACAAAAGCAAATTAAATAAAGATATAAATGCTCTTTGGCAACGACCACTCGACTGCTTTATTCCAACTGAAGAAACTTGGTTTTGCAAAGCACCCCTTGGCAAAAACACCCTTGGGAATATGATGGCGACTATTTCACGTCAAGGGCAACTCTCACAACGCTACACAAACCATTCAATTCGCTCAACGGCAATAACAGTCTTGGATGAAGCTGGTTTGTACATAAATATTCAGTAGATTTACATGAGATTTACATGACTTGACAGCATCATCTCTCTTATTTTACGGGGTATGAAGCCAGACATATCATGGCCATATCTGGCCATCAAAATGAAGCGAGCATCCGGTCATATTCTACCAGCGTATCAGAGGAACAGACTCGAAGAATATCTACATCATTAACCCTTGCCACCGCTCGTAAAGATGATGATATCTATCAGAGTCCTTTAAGATCAAATTCACCTGCAAGTCAATCACCCTTGTTGAGTGATTCCGACCTTCCTTCAACACCTTACCTCAACCAAATAATGAATACAGTCCTGTCACCCGTGATGAGCGCACCGACTGAATCTTCAAATACGCCAAGTTTGATGGATGTACCATTAATATAAACATTCCAAAATAACTTTCTCAGTTTGTCAACTGACACATGTTCTATACATAATAATTTATATATGACTAACAGGATGTACAGCAAAAGTGTTATTATTACGTTTTTAATTATAAGTTGCAACCTCCGTTAAGTCCAAAATCGTGCACTTGTTTACCTTTTAACATCCAACCCTGTTTAAATTTTCGGCATAATATATCAATTATAGACCTTCCCCTCGGGGGATTCGGAGAAATATTACCCTCAGTGATGATATTTCCCTCGGGCTGCGCCCTCGAGAAATATCATCACTGAGGGTAATATTTATCCGAATCCGCCTCGCTCCCGGTCTATAATTGATAATTATTATTAGATAACATTGATATCGAAGGAACTAGATTCTGTTCCGAAATATCACATACTCGAACCGACCAGACCGCGTAGCTCAGTTGGCAGAGCATTGGGCTAGTATTCCAAAGGTCATAGGTTCGATTCCCACCGTGGTCAGGCATATTTTACGTATTGTTACTTATTTGGTAGTTTTAACTGGCCATCACTTTTATAACAGCAAGGAGATAAAGACAACGTGTACGTGTGAGTTATCCATGAAATAAATAGTAGGTCTACAAAATGAATTCCGTCTTCGTGGATAAAATTAATGAGTTATAAATAATCTCTCCTGTATGTTTTAAGCTACATGTAAGGATTTCCACCGGTGTATTTCTTGTCTTTTGTATGGCTGTTTGTGGTTGTGCGTTATCTGACATATACTTTTGGTCCAATTTCAATTACATTTATCCAACCATTTCTGGATGATACATCTAGAACACTCAGGCAGTACTCAGGCAAAAAAAAGTCAACTTGAAAGGGGGCCCAACTTTCACAGAGGGGCCCCCGGAATTCTGGAATTGCGCAACGTGTTCTGAAATTGAGGTCGAAAAAAGGTCTGAAAAGTATTTGAACCCCCCATTATCGCAAAATTAATTTTTGGAACGTTTTTCCCAAAAAACGTCGCCATACCCACCCACCCACCACCCCCCCTTCCCACCCTTTATAATTTACTATAAAATTTTAGCTTACCAGAAAATATTTTGAGAGGGCCCCCGAAAGGAAGGTGGCCCAATTTTTTAAGTTCACCATCCACCCACCCCCCCAACCAGATATCGCTTGGCACGTCTTGGCAGTAATACTCTATTTGTAGCAGGGATGTTTCAAAATGCTGATAAGGAACTCAGTCTAATTATATAAATTAATTTTTCGATAATGAGGGGGAGGGGGGGGGGGCAAAATACTTTTCAGACCTTTTTCGACCTCAATTTTCGAATTCAAATACTTTGAATTACGTTTCCCACATGAGAACCGTAATGTGAGATATAATATTATATTTTTATATACATAGTTGGCCACGATATATGTAAGTAATAATAAACTAGAAATACATGCATGCAATAACCCCTCGCCTGTTTTCAAAAGATGTATACTCAGTGCCGTTGCTAGCACTTCGTCTCAGGGGGTGTGTGAGGTTAGATAGAGGGGGGGGGGGGGGGGTTACCAAAATGTTTCCAGATGTACAAAAAATTTTCAGGACATATAATAATTTTTCCGAAAATACAGTTGTTTTCCAAATTCACTTTCTCATGTTTTGAAAATTACCTGAATTCCCCTGAAAATCTTCTGCAAATCTACTTAAATTTACCTAAAAGTGCACTGGAAATCTACCTGAAATTCCTCATGAGCAATTATCAGGGGTGTTGCACCCCCCCCTCCCCCCCCCCACCAGTGAGTTTCACGCATTCACGGAAACACTCTCCGATTTATTGTTCGTGTATTTCATCTCCCAAAATTTTGTGCATCATACTATAGAGCATTTTGCTGTTGTCATGGTCTAGCGTGGTTCAAATTTATGAAATTTTATCATATAAAGTATAGTGTTTTATGTACTATTTAAAACACGAGTAGGAGTGCAGGCGAGCGTTATATATCTGATAAAACACGACAACGAGTGTTTTGAATAGCTTAAAATACGACTACAAAAGACTACTAATTAGGATGAACCATAGTATAATCATGCTAATTAAGATGAACAATTATATAATGCCACATGTGTTTTATCAGATATAAAGTCACTCCACGTGACATATTATGGCTGACATGTTCGCCACAAGGTTTATGAATTATTAATGAGTATTTTAAAGAGATTTCGAGCACTAATAAAAATGATAATCTCACATGTGAAATTATTCATGATAATCTCACATGTGAAAATTATCGCCTTTTCAATTATCGCTTTTCTGTAAAAATTATCGCTTTTCAAAGACTGTCCTTTATATAATAAACAGAAAAATACATGGGTGGTTGGAAATACCAGATTTATTTTTCGTGTTGAACATGACATCTCACTCGTTCGCTGCGCTCACTTGTTCGCTGCACACTCATGTTCAACACTCGAAATAAATCTGGTATTTCGTGCACCCATGTATTATTCTCTATTTAAACTACAACTTGACTGGTTTAAATTATTATCAAGTTATCAGTGATTGTAAAAGTTGCAGATAGAAGTGTTTTGTTTTATATTATTATCAAGTTATCAGTGATCGCAAAACCTCCAAATCCTTAATTTCAAATGTTAGAATGTTAGGGTTTGTAATCCAAGTGAGAATATATAGATTTTAAGACCTAACCAGGAACGACTACGAAAAATGCAGCACAAGGTCCTCTGGTAGGAATTGAACCTACGGCCCTGCGATTCCGGTGCAGCGCTCTAACCAACTGAGCTACAGAGGCCAGCTCTTGAGCTTTAACCGTAAGTTTATGTATATTTAGGTAATCGGGTGTGCGGGTTATGATAAGGTGGACTTCAATAATTTGGATTCTTGCACTTCACTTGGTGGACTTAATATTAGAATGTTAGGGTTTGTAATCCAAGTGAGAATAATTATACATTTTAAGACCTAACCAGGAACGACTGCGAAAAATGCAGCACAAGGTCCTTCTGGTAGGAATTGAACCTACGGCCCTGCGATTCCGGTGCAGCGCTCTAACCAACTGAGCTACAGAGGCCAGCTGTTGAGCTTTAACCGTAAGTTCATGTATATTTAGGTAATCGGGTGTGCGGGTTATGATAAGGTGGACTTCAACAATTTGGATTCTTGCACTTCACTTGGTGGACTTAATATTAGAATGTTAGGGTTTGTAATCCAAGTGAGAATACATACATTTTAAGACCTAACCAGGAACGACTGCGAAAAATGCAGCACAAGGTCCTCTGGTAGGAATTGAACCTACGGCCCTGCGATTCCGGTGCAGCGCTCTAACCAACTGAGCTACAGAGGCCAGCTGTTGAGCTTGAACCGTAAGTTCATGTATATTTAGGTTATCGGGTGTGCGGGTTGTGATAAGGTGGACTTCAATAATTTGGATTCTTGCACTTCACTTGGTGGAATTAATATTAGAATGTTAGGGTTTGTAATCCAAGTGAGAATATATACATTTGTATATTCACACTTGGATTACAAACTATTCTCATTTGGATTACAAAATATATACACAAAATATATACATGTACTATACATTTGTATATTCTCACTTGGATTACAAAATATTCTCACTTGAATTACAAACCCTAACATTCTAATATTAATTCCACAAGTGAAGTGCAAGAATCCAAATTATTAATTTCAAATGCCCCGCCGGGGCTAAGGTTCGAGTGGAAATACCCAACCCCCGGGATGTGCTTTACAGGAAAATGGCTGGGCGAGGGGGATGGGCACACTTGGATTTGGCTGATGCATTAAAAGTCATGGAAAAAGAAAAAAACTGTTCATATTGCTACTATAAAATGGCTCATTGTGCTTATTCCTGTGCTTATTCCAAACTGCTTGTCAAATATTTACTTGCTAGAAGTAGAAATTTACTCTGACCACTGGATGAAGAAGACATTAAATAAGTACTGGTCAATAAATAGAAATGTATTTTATTTCATAGTATTACAATTTTATTTTTATACTATAAAAATAAAATATAAACATGCGGCATAGAATATGCAAATTCGAGGCAATATTATTGTTGAATCGGTTTATTTATAGGATTTTATAACAAATAGCAACTATAAAAGTTTGTACCTTCACATCGCTGTATTCTGTTAGCCAATGCTTTTAAATTTACATATTTTAGAATCAGTTCCTTTCCTGGTAACTGCATGTCTAAATGAAATCATCGTGAGTAGTGAGTGCTGAGCAGGCCGTTTTACTATAAACAAATTTTAGAAATTGATAGCAACTTTGAAAAATATATCGTTGCACATTCGGTCACAGTCGGAAAAATGTTTGTAGCGTCGCTTGCAACTAACGATGAACAGTTGCTCATAAAAACATTCGCGTGATTAGAATCTTCAATGTTTGTCAAGAACAACAACACTTAATTGTTGTTTCCCATGTGTACAGTGGACAATAATAAGTAACAAAACTTCGTGTGGTCTGAACGTGTTGGGCTAGAGACTTACTGGAAACTTTTACAGGCCTTTTAATGAGAATAGAGAATGTTTTATCTGCAACTGTTCACCCTTAGTTGCAACCGACGGTATTTGACAGCATAAAATTGCCTGTGGCTGTGATAACTGATATAAATAAAATACAGTCTGGTTATACTGACTTGAGCGTGTCATGACAAACTCTTTATTGGAAAATTGTGAAGAAATAGTCGAATATAGAGGGTCGAATATCATACTTCAACTTGTATATATAGCTACAGTATCATTGGTACATAGCGTTGTGAAGACAAGCCTTTGCTTACCTTTCGCTTCAGCAGTCTTTTTTTCCATGCTTCTCTACGCTTTCCCAGGCGAGCTTCTCTTTCCTCAGCAGTCTCCTCGAGCAAACGTTGTCGTCTTCGCTAGCTCCCTCCCTTTCGCTAGACGTTCGGCTTTCTTGTCGTTTCCTTGCCGCTCTTCATTTGGCTCCATACAGTAGTCCATATCTTTTCAATTGGTATTTGATACCGTAATTGTTTTATTAAACTTTTTAT